CATGCTTCGTTCGAGCCTTCGCTCATGTCGCCTTGGCGGCAGTTCTATCTCCAGACTTCGTGGCTCGGTCCCTGTGACTACTCCACCTCGCTGGTCCAGGTCTCTACCAGCACAGGGAAAGTTCTTGGCTGTGCAGTCAAGAAGCTATGCTGCATCATCAGCTAATGCGAAAGGAGTGGTATGAATGATGAAATGGTCGATAAATGAACTTCCCGAGTATATGGAAACTGAGAAAACTTGTATTTCTAGGATCCTTCAGATGCTTTCCTGCAAGGAAACACCGCAAACTATATCGACGAAATGTACCTCTCGTGGAAGAAAGACCCCCAAAGCGTTCACATTTCATGGCAGGTATATTTCAAAAACATGGAGGGAGATGGTCCTGCATCACAAGCTTTCCAAGCACCCCCAACTCTCGTTCCTACCCCCACCGGTGGTGTCCCTGCGATCGTTCCTGGGGCACACCTTGGCGGCAATACCGATGTCACAAAACATTTGAAGGTGCAGCTTCTTGTTCGTGCATACCAGGTTCGAGGACACCACAAAGCAAAGATCGACCCCCTGGGAATTCGATCAATGGATATTGGCGGAACCGCGAACCCCCGTGAGCTTGACCTTGACCACTACCAATTCACTGCGAAAGATCTTGATGACGAGTATACGCTTGGTCCCGGTATTCTCCCAAGATTCGCTACGGAAGGCAGAGAAAAAATGACTTTGAGGGAAATCGTCGCTGCTTGTGAGAAGACCTACTGTGGCTCTTACGGTGTGGAGTACGTTCACATCCCGGATCGCGAACAATGCGACTGGATTAGGGAACGTGTTGAGGTCCCTACTCCCTATAAATACAGCCCTGATGAGAAGCGCCGTATTCTTGACCGTTTGATTTGGTCAACATCTTTCGAATCTTTCCTTGCAACTAAGTACCCCAACGACAAGCGCTTTGGTCTTGAAGGTTGTGAGGCCTTGGTGCCTGGAATGAAGGCATTGATTGATAGATCTGTTGACCACGGGGTGAAGGACATTATCATTGGCATGCCCCATCGTGGTCGTCTCAATGTTCTCTCCAACGTCGTCCGCAAGCCCAATGAGAGTATCTTCAGTGAATTTGGAGGGACAACCGAGCCCGGTGATGAGGGGTCTGGAGACGTCAAGTACCATCTCGGAATGAATTTTGAAAGACCTACTCCCTCTGGTAAACGAGTGCAGCTTTCTTTGGTGGCAAATCCCTCTCATTTGGAAGCTGAGGACCCAGTTGTGCTGGGAAAGACCCGTGCAATTCAACACTTCAACAGTGACGAAAAGGCACATGCTACTGCTATGGGGCTCCTTGTACACGGTGATGCCGCATTTGCTGGACAAGGTGTGGTTTATGAAACCATGGGTTTCCACTCTCTCCCCGCATACTCGACCGGTGGTACCATCCATCTCATTGTGAACAACCAGATTGGATTCACAACAGATCCCCGATTTTCTCGCTCCACACCTTACTGCTCTGACATTGCCAAGTCGATTGATGCGCCTGTCTTCCATGTCAATGCTGAGGATGTCGAAGCTCTTAACTTTGTCTGCCAGTTGGCAGCGGACTGGAGGGCTGAGTTCAAGAGAGATGTTGTTATCGATATTGTGTGCTACAGAAAGTATGGACACAACGAGACCGATCAGCCCAGTTTCACCCAGCCCTTGATGTACAGGAAGATCGCCGAAAAAGTACCGGCTTTGGACCAGTATGTCAAAGCTTTGTTGGATGAAGGCAGCTTTTCGGAAGAGGACATCCAGGAACACAAAAAATGGTTCGTAGCCTTTGCCCGTTCAGAGTTGTAAACCATCGAAAGAGTGCTCTAATTGACTTGGGATTTAGGGTGTGGGGTATGTTGGAAGACAGCTTTGCCAAGTCAAAGGACTACCAGCCCACTGCCAGGGAATGGCTTGCTAGTGCATGGAACGGTGAGTTGATAACGTGAGATCTTCGAATAAGCTCTTGTACTGATGTATAACTAGGCTTCAAGTCCCCTAAGGAATTGGCTACCGAAGTTCTCCCTCACCTCCCAACCTCAGTCGATGAGGCTACACTGAAGCACATTGCCAACACAATTTCCGCTGCTCCCGAAGGATTCCATGTTCATAGAAACTTGCAGCGTATCTTGGCAAACCGTAAGAAGACTGTCGAGGAAGGCAAGAACATCGATTGGTCGACTGCCGAAGCACTTGCTTTTGGTAGTTTGCTCAATGATGGCAAGCACGTTCGTGTCAGTGGACAGGATGTAGAGCGTGGTACCTTCTCACAAAGACACGCGGTTCTCCATGACCAGGAAACAGAGGATATCTACACACCCTTGCAGCACATCAGCGAGAACCAGGCTAAATTTGTCATTTGCAACTCTTCATTGAGTGAATTCGGAGTGTAAGTCTTTCTAGAATCTTGTATTTTCTCCGAGACACATAAGCTAATATCTTCTAGACTTGGTTTTGAATATGGATACTCACTTTCTTCTCCTGATGCCTTGGTCATCTGGGAGGCCCAGTTTGGAGATTTCGCCAACAATGCCCAATGTATCATCGATCAGTTCATTGCTTCCGGAGAAACTAAGTGGCATCAACGTACTGGCTTGGTTCTCTCACTTCCTCACGGGTATGATGGACAAGGTCCCGAGCATTCTTCCGGGAGAATTGAGAGATATCTCCAACTGTGTAACGAGGACCCCCGTGTTTTCCCCTCAGAAGCAAAGCTCGAGCGCCAGCACCAAGATTGCAACATGCAAGTTGCATACATGACCACTCCCTCCAACTTGTTCCACATTTTGAGGAGGCAGATGAACCGTCAATTCAGAAAACGTGAGTCACACATAATCCTTGAAGATCAATGAGATAGATTCTTACAATACACAGCCTTGGTCATCTTTTTCAGCAAAGCTCTCCTCCGCCATCCTCTTGCTCGCTCTGATCTCTCAGACTTCACCGGAGACTCACACTTCCAATGGATGCTCCCCGAAACCGAGCACGGCAATGGTATCAAGGATCCCTCCGAGTGCACTCGCCTATTGATCTGCACAGGTCAGGTTTACGCTGCTCTCCGCAAGCACCGTGAAGCCCACAAAATCGACGATATCGCCATCGTTCGTGTTGAGCAACTGCACCCCTTCCCTTGGGCACAACTCCGTGACGAACTTGACAAATACCCTAATTTGAAGGAGATCGTCTGGACCCAGGAGGAGCCACTCAACGCCGGTGGCTGGAGCTTTGTGCAGCCGAGATTGGACACCATTCTCCGCAACACGCAGAACCATACAGACAAGCACGTCCAATACGCTGGCAGAAACCCCAGCGCCAGTGTTGCCACTGGTCTCAAGGCTAGCCATATAGTACGTTTTTTTCCCGATCATATATGACCCGTTATCAGAATTTGATGCTAATAATCTTTACAGAAAGAGGAGCAGGAGCTGCTGAACGACGCCTTGCGCCTCAAGAACTGATTCTCGACCTGTTTCCCTGGTTCGTGGAAAATTCTGGAATGATCAAGAAGGTGCTATCTTGGTTTCGGAGTTTTTTTCTTTCTTCTTTTTTTTTTTTTTTTCCTTGTCATCCTAAAAGCTGTGAGTGACTACATTATATCGGGGGTGGGGGTTACTGCTCTATCTCGCTCCAACCGCGCGCCATAACATCAAATTACTACTACAATCTATATGCCCGCGATTATTATTTATACATACTCTGAGCTCTCTTCTCTGTTGTTCGGACTTTTTTTTTTTTTTCTTCATCTTTCATTTTTTATCCTTTCTTGTTCTCTTTTTTTCCTGCTAGTTTTGTTCTTGATATTATTTGACTTGGTTCTTGATATCTGTCCTATCTGTATTATAATTATTTCCTAGAGGCTCCCTCCCCCCCTTCCATCTTGGAAGTTGGTTCACTGTAGCATTTTTACTTTGTTCGAACCCGTCCACCCACCCTTGGTTGTCGCAAAAAAAAGGCACGGCCAACTGTTGAAGAATCTAGATTATGATATTGAAAAGATATTTCGAGTTTTTTCCCGCTAGCTATATAGTTGAGGAGGAGGATCAAGCTGATGGGCGCGGTATATCACAACTATTTCTCTTATTTCGTTGTCAAACGCGCGGAAACCGCATCGCGGTTGCAACGGCTAAATTGGAACTATCCCTGGTCGTCACGGTGACTAACCCCCGCCGCCCATGCGCGGCGAGCATCAAGAGTTAACTACATGACCTAGCCGGGGTCAACAGATAAGGTCTTCCTACAGGGCTGAGATTCCAGGGATTCCAGCGTCCAATGGATTGGTTGGGCCGTCTTATCTACGCCGCCTACGATCATTCCAAAGATGCTTTACCTCCGCATCTCTGACTCTCACTCAGCTCATAATTCATAAGTACCATACAATTAACCACGCCTAGTACGGTAATCCTACTCTACTATGGTGCGAGAGGCCTTGGGGGGGGGGGGGGGGGGCGGCCTTGTAATCCCTGTTCATACCAGTTCAGTATTGTAGGCCTTGCAGCCATAAAGTCGACTTAAAGGTGAGGCTCCTCGATGTTTGCTTCCTAGGGCCAATGGGAGAATTGACTGAAGTGGTGTGTACAGGGTTGACAAGGTCCCTCTTGCACCATATCAAAACTACGGCCAGGGGGGCTGAGCTGGTAGAGTAGGTATCGGATATTAACAGCAAGTAGGTAGCCAGCGGTACTCTGCGTGCAGATTGAAATTTTGAGGATCTACATAGCTCAAGGTGTTTGCAAACGTGAGTACATGAGTCAATGACTTTTTCTCATGACTCAAGATTCGGAGGCTGAACATAGACATCGATATCAGTGAGAGTTGGAGTCATATCTGGGGTGCATTCGGTGATGTTTGGTAGCTATAAAGATTATCCCCCCCCCAATTCTATCTTTACTCATCGAGAAGCTTAGGTTCTATGCCAGTGGGCTAGGAGACTCGCAGACACCAGCACCTTCCCAAAGAGCAGGAGGACCCTCCCCGCAACCCCCACCATGGACATCAGCGGCCTCGCCCACGCCATCTCCGGCGCCGCCGGCATGAGCCCAAACAGCCTCGTCGGCCTCCTCAGCCTCGGCGCCATGGCCACCAACCGCGTCCCCGGCCTCGAAGTGATCCGCGACTACTTCCACAGCCTCAACCTCGACTTCGGCACCCTCACCACCTGGTTCATGCTCGCCACCGCGCTCTGGACCGGCTCCATGTTCCTCTGGAACTATGTCTGGGCGCTTATCGAGAAGCACTACACCTGCAGCATGCGTCTGGTGAACCAGTACGGCAGCTTCAACAACGACTTCCACACCTGGCTGTGCGAGACGCAGGGCGACCAGCTCCACGGCACGAGCAGCTACGACGTGGAGCTGCACTCCCGGAGGACTGCCCTGCCCGCAGAGGCCAAGGTGCAGATATACTACCAGATCACCGCCAACGCCGAGTACTCCTTCCGCCACAACGGGCACCTCATCAGGGTCACAAAATCCATAGTCCGCCAATACGAGGACAACGAGCAGCAGGTCACCACGCTGCGGACCTACGGCCGCGGCAACAAAGTGCTAAAGGCCCTCCTCCAGGAAGTCTTCGAACACACGCGCACCGTGCAGAAGGAGATGACCAGCGTCTTTGGCCCACACCGCATCGACGACGCCGGCCGCGACGTGCACTGGCGCCGCATAATCTTCCGCCCCAAGCGCCCCATCGCGAGCGTGGTGCTCGAGGACGACCAGCGCGACAAGCTCGTGGCCGACATCGCGGAGTACCTCCTCCCGCAGACAATCACATGGTATGCAAACCGCGGGCTGCCATACCGCCGCGGGTACCTCCTATACGGGCCGCCGGGCACAGGGAAAACTAGTCTTAGCATGGCGCTGGCTGCGCACTTTGGTCTCGGCGTGTATGTGCTCTCGCTCACGCAGCGCGGGCTCGACGACGAGAGCCTGGCCGCGTACTTTGCGCAGCTGCCGACGTACTGTATTGTCCTGCTTGAGGACGTTGATGCATCTGGTGTACGGCGGGCAAACGACTCTATCGCCGCCCCTGCATCTCCCCCTACCACTGTCTCCAAGACCACCTCCCCGAAAGACAAGGACCCACCCATCGCCGGCCCTCCGCTTCCAACCGAGATGCATAAAACAAAAGTAACCTTCTCCGGCCTCATCAACGCCATCGACGGCGCCAGCGCCAGCGAAGGCCGCATCCTCATCATGACCACCAACCACCGCGAGCACCTCGACGAGGCGCTGATCCGGCCGGGACGGGTCGACCTACAGATCGCCTTCTCGTATGCCTCGCGACCCGTCATTGCCCGCATCTTCGAGAACCTGTATGATGTCAGCAGCGAGGATCTCGCACTGCGGGATTACATCCCCGAGGACTTTCCCGGGAAGGAGGAGATTGGGAAGATGGCGGCGAGGTTTGCGGACATGGTGCCGGAGGGGCGGTTTACGCCCGCTGAGGTGCAGGGGCTGTTGTTGTGCTACAAGAAGGATCCGAGGAGGGCGGTGGAGGTGGCGCCGGCGTGGGTGGAGAGGAGGTTGGCGGTGAAGGAGGAGAATGAGAGGAGGGCGAAGGTGGCGAGGGCGGGGGTGGAGTCTTCGTGATCTTTGGTGTATAAAGGCGTTGCGTGGTTGTTGGTTTTGTGCAGCGTGTTTTTGTTTATAACAGCGGTTTTAGATGTGTAGATACAAAAACTAAGGACAGCAGGAAATCAATCCTGCGGAAACAGACCTGTTCAAATGAAATTCAAGATCCTCAGCAACTCAGGAACACACACCAGCGCTCTCGCAGCGTAAGTGATGGACGCACCGCAAAGGGGGGGGGAAAGTCGGTATCGCATCACAGGCCATCACTCGGCTGTTTGTCCCGGGCAACGGACCAACCTGCGTGGTTCAGGGAGGTGCGGGAGGGCCCGAGATCAAACAGACCCTTGCAGGCACACTAAAAAGTGTACCTCTCGGCCCCATCCCATATCGGACCCCCAGACCTCACCACACTCTGCCCACAACATCCCCCCACAACAACCTCTAACTCTCCCCACCGTGACCACCACCACCATCACCACAACATCCGCAATGTCCGCCCCCCACCCCCAACACCAAACCATCCCCCTCCTCCCCGTCAGCCTCGCCCTCACCACCCTCGCCCTCTACCTGCACACCCACCACCCGCTCCTCCCACACATCGTCCTCATCGCTTTCTACACCGCGAAGCTTGCCGCGCACTACGCCGTCGCCAACGGCGCCCTCAGCATCGTGGACGACATCGTGCGCATCCATGGCGCGGCCGTGAGAGAGCGGTGGAACACCGCACTGGGCATCTTGCAGCTGGGGGCGGGTGTGGGCGTGTTGCTGTGGGGGGTCGTGTGTGTGGCGTGGGGGGTTCTGGATTGGGTTTTTAGAGGTATGTGGTTCGCCGTGGAGCAGAGTAGTGAGGTGTGGGGCTGATGGTGTGTGTGTGTAGGGTATTATATCTTGGAAGAGCCTGCAGTCGTCCCGTGTATCCAATACAAGGAAGAGGAAGAGGACGAAGACGAAGAGGAGGAGGAGGAGCTAGTGTTCAGACTCAGCGGGTCCGGGGGCAGGTTTGAAGGAGAAGTCGAAGTCATGGGCGGGGAGGAGAAGGTAGTGGGCAGGTTTGGACCCGCGGGCTTTGCAAGTGTGTCTCCGAGCTCGACGAGGACGCTGGTGGTGTTTGATCCTGCCATGGCGCGCACTGTGGAGTGGCGGTACAGCTCGCAGCTACAGAAGGCGGTGGGTGAGGTGTAGATGCTTGCGTCGAATGGTGCTGATTTCCCTTTTTGTGGCTACTGGTAGTGAACACTACTATTGGTGTAATCACAATTGGGGTTTGCTTTATGGTTGTGGTGTTTCTGCTTGTTTAGTTTGTGTGGTGTTTGATTCTTCGCGTTCTTTGGGGCGGTTTTGGTGCCTGGCCGTTATCATCGTTATGAGCAAACAAAGGTCAAAAAACCAACCAAAGCCAAATCAAAGCCCCACGGTGCACACAGAACTGTTTTCAGAGATGATCAAAGTGAAGAACCGAAATGTAGACGAACTGATGGGCTGAAACAAAGGAAATTTCTTTTTACAATCACAGTTTTAGAGGCCAAATTACCGCTAATACAAAAGTACAGATACATGTAGTTTGGAACAATGTCTAAACTACGTAATGAAACGTTTAACAATTGTGCAATTGTTAACGACATTCACTGACCAGTACAATCAACAGGAACAACCCCATGGTGTTCTCAACCCTGATAAGCCGTCGACCGCTGGCTAGACCGACTCGTCCATACTAATAGCTGTCTTTGCTATCTGTTATTAGCACTGTGTCAAGACAACGAGTCCGGTTGTCTTGATAATACGTGTTTATTTACAAAGTATTTTTTTTACTATAAAAGGAGTTTGCTCTCCCTACTATTCTTAGTTATTAATTATAAAATACTATTCTCCTCGGTCTCTTATAAATGTCCTTGGACACGGTATGGAAAAACATCTAAGTTCACTGCCCAAGTTCCTGCGAGTGAGAATCCGTGATGCGTTGCTTGCAAGGTCAGGGAGAAAGAAAAAAAGAAGTAAAATCTATCATTGAAAGCTCATCTATAACTTTTGAACAAAGGAAAATGTCTATACAGCTATGTCTATAGCTATCGAACGGTCAACAACGACCAATTTTCACCATATCATCTCGATCCCCATGCACCCACTCTATATCTACCCACCATCAATTCCCCCACCGAAAGAGCCCCTCCATAATGCGGTCCACATAATAGATCCTATACTGCTGCCTGCCAATCCACGTCTCACTAAAAAAGAACACATACACCCTCAAGACCATAAAACCGCCCATCACCGCCCACGACACCCCTGCCATCGCCAACACAAACACGCCAAACCCAAACGACACCCTCTGCACGCCGGCACTCCCCGCGCCATACTCCGTCGCAAGCACCGCCTGCATCGCCGTCAGCACGACCGTGAAGTACACAAACGCAAACAGCAGCCACTCGAAGCTGATCGTGTCGAACAGGAACTTGTAGCGGTTGTCGCCCAAGTGGAACGGCTCGTGCACGCACATCTCGTACAGCAGGTTCAGCCGCGTCAGCCGCAGCTCGCCGTAGTCGTACCGCTGGCTCAGGATCATGACCGAGGTGCTGGCCTCGATGTCGGCGGAGAAGGCGCACCATTGCTCCCAGGTCACGCTGGACGGGATGAGTTTCTTGTCCTTTGCAATCTCGAGGTCGCTCTCGTGGCGGATGAGCTTTGTGTATGACTTTAGGAAGCCGCAGGCGCTCGCATAGAGATCCGATCTCGCGTCTTCGCTCGGCGCGGTGCAGATGTACTCTTCGAAGAAGTCGTGGTGGAGGAGAAACGCCGGGATGGGTTTGAGGTAGAGCTGTTTGCCCTCCCAGCAGAGGTGGAGGTCGATCTTTTCGGCGACAATGATCTCGCGCCCGGCTATGAGTTGGCGGTGGAGAGGGCGCTCTGGGATGAAGGGCCCGACGAGCCAGAGGTGGCGGACAATCGTGTTGATACGGTTGACGGAGAACTCCTCCGTGAGGAAGGAGATGATGGTGGTGCCGGAGTGGAGGGTGGGGAGGGTGTAGGGGCGCTTGCTGGAGTCGTCGGGGGTAGCAAGGAGGGCGTTGTGGGCGGCGTAGGGAGGAGAAGGGATCGATATCCGGGGGATTTGCTGCTCGTATTCATCCTGGGAGGAGTTAGTGGGTGCCGGGAAGGTAGGGGGGAGAGCGGGACTTACGGGGACTGGGGGTGGAGGCGTGCTGGAGCGGGAGGGTGAATCTGGTGGTGGAGGGGTGCTGGAGCGTGAGGGTGAGGGTGACGGGGTGCTGGAGCGGGAGGACGGCGGTGAAGGGGTGCTGGAGCGAGAGGACGGCGGTGAAGGGGTGTTGGAGCGGGACGGTGGCGGGGTTGCTGGAGACATCTTGTGGGATGTATTAAAATTTAATTGAGATCGAATACCGCTACCAGAGTAGATATCGCTATGATTGTTGACTTTTGTTGACTTTTGTTAAATTGAGTGATAATACTACTACCAGAGTAGAGCAGATATCGATGCAACTGCTGCTGTCTATCGAAACCAAGTAGTAAGTAATAATACTACCGGAGTAGATTGCAGCTGCTGTTGACTATCGAGACCGAATACCACTACCAGAGTTGATATTGTATAACTATTGTCGTTTGTTGAGATTGAGTGATTATACTTTAAACGCTATTGATTATTGAGATCGAATAATACCACTACCGGCGTGGATATAGTTGCAATTGACGTCTTTTGCTGAAGTCGAGTATAATACCGCTGCCGGAGTAGATATTATTTAAACGCTAGTGCTGAGTATCGAAACCGAACAACACCACTACCGGAGTGAGTATCGCTATAATTCTCGCGGTTTCTTGGAATTGAGTAATAATGCTACTGCCGGAGTAGATGTCGTTGCAATTGTCGCTGAATATATATCGGAACCGAAGAATTGACAATACCACTACCAGCGTAGATAATCCGTTGTATCAATTGCAAAGTCTCGCAGATAATATACTAGATATATCGTCAGCCACAAACCTCTCACTCACTCCTGTCCTTTCCTGTTTACTGATCCCCCAAACTAGACCCCGCATACCCTTTATACATATCCCCCCATCGATCTCCCCCCCATCCCAACCCCACCATTCGCTCCCTCCCCCTCCATCACTCTCCCACCACCGTCCACGTCGCTGACTGGTGCGAAGATTCTAATTACGCCCAAGGAGAGCCACCGATAGGTCCATCGCCCATCACCCCCTGACTGCGCGTCTATACCAGGTTTATAGTACTGTTCAGTTGTTTGTGGGGTACCTTTTTTTCTCACTCAGGCATGTACCAGACCCCGAAGCGGGAGCCCGAAACATACACACTGGTGTGTACATACCAGAAGCAGCAGCCGTGACAGGTGGCCGAGACCACCCGTGGTTGGGTGCGAGTGCTCATGCCCAAAAGTGCAAATTGTGGCTGTGCTGATGATGCGGCTGACCAATCAGGTCGTAGAGGGTGTGTGGGACGTCATAGAGGTGTCTACCTGAAAGTATTGTTTGTGCTGGTGCTGGTACTTGTGGGCGAGGGGGAAGACGTGGTTAGACTCGGGTGGTACATGTGCCATCCCGTCATAGGTTCTCACTCGATGCGAAAAGCACTATGTACTTTACCACTGCGGATTGCTGGGAGGGTGAAACGGAGGCTTAGTGACTGACTGACTGACTGCCCTACGGACCCGATACTACATGACATGTACCTACTAACCATACCGTACAGTACCGTCCGTACTCGCTAACGGGGAACGCCTAACTGACTAACTGTTGAAAAAATTGCCAACCCACCCACCGGGCCCCTACCCCCCCCCCCCCAAGCTTACCCTACCCTCCCCCTCCGTCATTCCCCCCTCCATGCATATGTCACTGCCATCAAGAATTAAGAGCCTCAACTACATACATGTACCTACCTGTCTAACCGCCTTACACAAAAAACACGCGAAAAAAAAAAAAAAAAACACTACGAACAACGTTATCCCGGTCGATCGCCGCAAGTCGATGCGCACCACTAGCTCTGTTCCACCCACGAGTGACCAGCCATGACCTCACCACAGCTGCTTATACTAGCATGTACTACAGCTAGCATAGCCTCACTGCCATCATAACTGTGACATGTTGGTCCGTTACACGGCTTCATGTTCGTGCTCAGCGCCGTTCTTCGTGCTCAGCACGTTACTACGTGCTGTAGATCTCCAGGGCAGATTCTTGCCGGCGCACTTTTTCGGTTTGATCTCCCGAGCAGTAGAAGTAGTGACGATCGCGAGGAGTAGAAGTAGAGGGAAAAACGCCCCCCTACATCTGTCTGTCTATTCCGGCCCTACCCGATTTTCGTGATGAGTTTATCCAGGACTACACTGCTGGCTGACTAACGCCCCGATTCACCGAGTGATAATTTATGACTTATACCAACCAATCATCTATCCCACTCACCCACTACACGCCAACCACACCGTGAGATTCTTACGCATTATATTTTGTTCATCTATCGGCCGACATTACACCCCACACACATCTTATTCTAGCTACCCCTTTACCTTGACCGCTAGCTAATACAGCTAACCTACCCTGTAAGTACTAGTACATCCATCCAACTTTTATATCCCGAGCAGCACACAGCACAGCACACCAACCACATATCATGATCACGAATATAAAGCACACAAAAAAAAAACGAAAAACGCCAAACATGCACCACACATCATCCTCAAAAACGCAAAAGCAAAAGATAAAAAAAAGAAAGAAAGAAAAAAATCTAAATACCCTGCACCTTCGCATAACTCGGTGGCTTCAACTTCCTCCTAACCGCCTTTGCAATCCACGGCGGTATCAGACTAATCGCACTGATGACCGCAACCCTCCACACGAACCCTATTGTTATGATGTAGCTGAGGTCGAAATACTCGCTCAACAGCGGCATGCTGGCGAAGAAGAGGACGGCCGTGCCGACCTCGGCGAAGATCATGTATGCGTGCCTATTTATGCACCGTTAGCATTCACCTAGGGGAGGGAGGGGAGGGAAGAGAGGGGAGCTTACCAGGTCGTTATCTCGAGCGCAACCATAATCAGCTCGTTAAGGATAAGGACCGTGAAAGAGACCGACACCATACGCTTAAAGTTCTCCTCGCCGAGGCCGACCAAGATCTGTGACAGGCCCTGTATGATACTACCCTGATAGATGCTCACCAGCACCCACACGCCAAAGCTACGGTAGCTCAGACTGCGCCCCTCCGTCAGCTCCTTATACAGCTCCGGATACAGCTCCGCGAGGCGCTCATCCACGTCCCGATCGAGCACCAGCGAGAACACGGGCGCCATCGTATACACACTCGCATACCCGACAAGCAGCCAGCCCTGGTACAGCGCGATGGGCTCGAAGCGGCTCGCGATGCTGAATATGGTCTGGCAGACACTGATGATGAGGCCGCGGTGCATGACGAACTGCGCGAGCTTTGCCGAGCGCTTGTACGAGTTGCGCCCGTGCCACACAAGGAGTTTTGTCAGGTGGCAGAACTGCTCGACGGAGAAGTCGGCCGCGAGGGAGGCCTGGCGGCCCTCTTTGCCGACGATGCCGACGCCGACGTCGGCGGCTTGGATCATGGAGACGTCGTTGCCGCCGTCGCCGATGCAGCAGATGCGTTTTTGCGTGTGTGTACGGATGAGGCGGGCGATGTCGGCTTTCTGCGTGGGGGTGCAGCGGCAGGCGATGACGGCGGGGAGTTGAACGGCGAGGGTGATGAATTCGGTCTGGTATACGGATAGGAATAGCGCCAATGACTCTCCGTCAATTAGCAGGCAGGAGTCAGTCTTGTTCCGAAGAAACTCCAGCGCATCGTAGGCAAGATCCTTCCGTTTTACTATTGCATCATAGGTCAGCACTCGCCGCCACTTCCGAGAATGAAAAAACTTACGTTTCGCAATTGTATGGACATACTGTCCCCTCGCCACCAGCTTCGCACTAACCGCCACACACCGCGCCGTCTCCACCTTATCTCCCGTCAACATCCATATCTTGATACCCGCATTCCTCAGCAGCTCCAACGAGCTCTTCACATCCTTCTGCAGCTTATCCTCCACGCCCGTAACACCCAGCAGCTCCAGATCCCGCTCCAGGTACTCCTCGACCACCCTCGCCATCTGCGTATCCCTGCTATGCAGCTGCAAGCTAGCGGCCTTGTACGCGGCTGAGAACTCGGCATACTTCGAGTGCGAGAGCTTCTTCCGCCCCACAACGAGCGTCCGCAGCCCCTCGCGTGCCATGTTGGAGCACTCCTCATCCAGCCAGTCATTCGACTGCACGATGGGCGACATTGTCGTATCTGCACCCTTCTGATAGAACCAGATATCACCACTTGGCTCGTCCGGTCCGCTGAGAAGGTCGGTGGTGTGGCTGTTGACAATGAACTGCACAACAATACCCATACGCTTCCCCTCACTCGTGAACGGGAAGACCTCCAAGATCTTGACACGGACAACGACTTCACCGGTCGAGACAGAGACCAGCCGCATTCCATTACGGTCGCGGTGAACAAGACGCAGCCCAACAGACTCAGTCCAGCGGACGATCGCAATCTCATCGGGTGAAGAGGCCTGATACGTCGTCGTCGCCTCAGTCGCGCCCTCCTCCGTCGCCGTCGTCGGCGTAACATTATGGCACAGCGCAAGCGCCAGCACCACATCCCTCACCCTCGTCCCAATCTCCCTGCGTGTCCTCGTCGTATTCCCGCCCCCCGAGCTCGGCACCGCAACGGCGTTCTGTGTGCCACTTCCCGCACCGGCTTCGCCGGGGAGGAACCCTTGCTTGATGTAGTCGGCCACCTCCTCCATTGCCTCGCCCGCGTATGATACTGTGCCAACGTGGATCTTCTTGAGCTCCATGTCGTTCTGCGTGAGCGTGCCCGTCTTGTCACTTAGCAGGTACTCGACTCTTCCGAGCTCCTCGGGGATGGTGGATGTGCGGACGACGCAGCCGGCGATGTTTTGGTCGTGCTCAATGAACCAGGCGTATGCGGACTTACCCATGTCGAGATTTACACGCAGGGAAATCGGGATGATGGTGGAGAAAAGGACCAAGAAGCGGAGGATCTGGAGATACCATGGGATTGGCTTATCGCCGCCGTCTTCTTCTTCCGCTGGGTGGCCTTCGGCAGCTTGCAGGACGACGAGCGCGATGGAGAGGGAAAAGGTGATTGCGCAGAGAATCTTGGTCAGATTATTGATCTCCTTCTCGAGCAGACCAGTCTTACTACGACTCCGAGAGGTAGACAGAGCAGCACGGGTTTCAGGACCCGTATAGATAATTGCCGCCAGAGTCGTCGAATTAGATGCCAGTACCGTATTTGCCCACGCCGTATTATCAATCGACAACCCGACCTTGAATCCCGCCTGCGGCGTACTCGGGCTCGCAAGCGACGACTCTGCATTCTCATCCTCCGGTATCGAATGTGGCTCGTACGCCAGGGACCCCACAAAGTTATTCACCTCTTTACTCGGCGCACTCGCGGTGACCGTGACCCCCGCCAGCCACCCGGCCCTCAACGCCTGTGTCGGCGCCGGCGCAAGCCTCAGCTTCCAGTCCGTCTCTCCGTCCAGCTGGTCGGTACGGATGAATGCCTCTCCCGAGGCCGCCTCCTCGTCTGTGCTGTTTGCTTCGTTGGATATCGTCTTGAGGATCACCACGTCTGCGGGTACCCGCTGGTCTTTCTTCAGGATCAGTATGTCGCCAACCTTGAGGTCCCGTGATTTCCTCATGAGCGTGAGGGTGTCGTCTAGGTGGCCCACGTTCTTCCGCTTCGTTCCGGGGGCGAATGAAAGGACTTCGTAGAGCTCGCTGTTGGCCTCCTTGTCCCGCCGCCGGCGTGCAATGTCATCGTGTGCCTCCTTCCCTAGCGTGATTGCGAGCACAAACACCAGCGGGACGATATAACTGCTGAGGTAGCCTATCCGTAGCGCAGGAATGCACTGACTAAGTGCCACCAGTAAGAAGTAGAGGTTGAAAAAGAAGCTAAACTCATGGTACAGTGTAAGCGGGAGGAACGTGATGGGTGTGAACTTATGGTTCGAGATGATATTCGGCGGATACACCGCCTCTTTTCCTTTCCGCTTACTGAGCGCCTTCAGGCCTCCCACCCCCGCCACCCCCGACGACCCCAACCCCACCACCCTCGTCTCCTTACTCGGCTTAAACGCCAGATCCACCTCCGGCTCCGCATCATCCCCCGCCGCCGCCCCCGCCGCCCCCGCCGCTCCCGACCCTCCAATTCTCCCCGGCCGCAGGCTCAACCGACTACTCAACCTCCTAAGCAGCTTCCTCTTCCCCCCGCCGCCGCTGCCGCCATGCAACGATTCCCGATCCCTCTCCCTCCCACTATTATTTCCGTCCTCGTCATCGTGCTCTCCGCCCAGCAGCGCCTCCTCGTCTTCGTCCAGCTCCTCCCGCCGCACGCCCCGTCGCCCCAGTCCCATCCTTAGACTCCGCAGTGCAATGCGCGCGCTGTCGCCGCTCTCCCGTGTGTTTGTGTCACGCTCCCGATCCCGCTCGCGCTCGCGCTCAGACGAGAGGATTGAGCGGCTTGCGGCGCCGTCGTGGAGCTCGGCGAGGTCGAGGTCTAGGTCGGAGGATGAGGCCGTCGAGTATGTGGGGGAGGGTGGGCGGTAGTGCGGGTGGTGGTTGGACATCTCAGGGAGTGTTTTCGGGGGGGCGTGGGGAGACGGATCCCCTATTTATCAATGGGTGTGTGGAGGGAGGGTAGGTGCGTTGTTAACTGGACCGGGGGGGGGGGGGGGGCAAGATGTGCTGTGCTGCTGCTGTTGTGCTGTTCTGGAGTTATAAGAGGAGGGTGGTGGTGGTGGTCGTGATTGATGAGCTGTGCAGAGCACGTATCGGGATAGGGAGGGTGCGTGTGTAGACAGATAGCGGCTCAAATGGGAGCTGTGGGATGGCTGGCAGGATGGATGGGATGTGATGCAGGTGTGCTGTTGTGTGTGTGTGCTGTGTGTGTGTGTGTGCTGCTGCTGCAACGTGTGTGGTGGGTGTTCGTATTCCGGATGTTGATCGTGTGCTCCTTGCCTTGCGTATAATAAATAATAAAAGGGAGCAGCCCGAGGAGCGAGTGAGTGAGTGAGTGAGTGAGAGAGTGAGTGTCGAAGGGATGATGATGAACGATGACGATGGAGCAGACAGATCGATCCAGCGTAGATAGATAGATGGTGATGAAAAAGACAGAAGACGAAGCAGACGAAGAAAGAAAGAGAGAAAGAAAGAAAGGGAGAAAGAAGCTCTCTCTCTCTCTATTCCCGAGATATCCGTATATTCCAGCACGGCTCTTTTTCCTCTTTCCTTTCACTTTCACTTTCAGCTCCGCCCGTTCTCTGCTACACTCTAAACATTACGGACCACGCGGCGTTCCCGGGGGCCTACGACCAGTCGGGGTTCCGGAGAGCAGCCCACGGTACGGCAACGTAACACCCCGGCTTGGCGGGGGGCTGTTGGGTTAGCTGGGCGAGGTCGGTGGGCAGCTGGTTACTAAGGCTTGGTCGGGGCTTGGGGGAGGGATCATGGGAGAGCACTCGGGGGGGGCACGAGAGGGGAGGTTCGAGGTACATAACAGCACTTTGCAGAGGTGGTACAGCTGTGCTACTTGGGGGGACGGGGGGAGAAGTGCACGTCGTACAGAACTTTTGGAAAATCCACAAGGTATGACGGTATCGCTTGTTTACGGTTAAAGCTGTACAGGCATCTGTGGAGTACAGCGTTTCGGATACAATTGGAAAATAGAATTGAGTTGCAACCAGGAATAAGCCCTACTGCTAAACTAGAGTAACCGCATCTCACTCATCTTTCAGCTATGTAGCTCCAGCTAGACAAACCAACTTTCTCTCTCCCTCCACATTACCAGACACACACCGTATCTCCCACTCCTCAAACTCACAAGTATACCAGCAACTAGAGTCGATCCTCAATTCCGGCATCAATGCCATCATCTATCTACACTTCTATAACACCTCTAATCTATACAACGCCCCCCTCCCACCCACCCCACAAACCAAGAAAGAAAACACACGATATCACCAGACTACAACCAGCCACACACCTTCACATCACAAGAGCGCCGCTACGAGTTATGATCGCCAATGATTCGCCCACCCACCAAGCCAAGACCCAGCTGAAAACGACGTAGCAGTAGAGCAAGTCGATAGGTCGCGGCCAATTAAGGTTTAGCCACCGCACCACACGAAAGAAAGAGAGAAAGGAAAGCCCACAACCGCCAACATGCAAGAAAGAAAGTATCTCCGATCCAGCCCCAATGGCTAAATGTGGGGTATTATATACGCCCCAGTCCACGGCTTAGTCCAGCCTCACATCACAGATATAGGTACATGACAAAAATAGAAGAGAGAGAGTGAGAGAGAGAAAAAGTGCACCAACGGCACTACCTAGTATCTAGCTAGCTAGCCTGCATACCCCAGGGTATCAAAGAAACTGCGAAATAGAGAGCCACCCTTACATACGAAAGATTTCCAGGAAGGAATGTCCGAGTGTGAGTGAGTGAGAGAGAGGAGAGATAAGATATATGCTCGAGAGAAAGAAAAAAAGCGGAGAAGGTATGAAATAGAACCGATAACAACGCAACCCGCCCAGCTTTTTTGTAATATGATACCGATAAGGAAAGCAAGAAAGAAAGAGAAGTCCTAAAAAAATGCCCGTGAATTGCCCCTGTGCAGAAAGTATATAAAAAAAAGCGAGAAAGAAAAAACAGCCAAATAAACCAGCAGCAATAATGGTACAAACCAGAGAGAGGGAGAGAGTATAATCCAGCCTGCCTGAGGGGAAAAAAAAAATCCACTTTTTTCCAACTACGACGTTGATCCCGACCTCCTCAACGTATCAAATAATCCACTAATCCTCCTCCCCCATTTCCTTTTTTCCCTCTCCGATTTCCTAGTTTCCTCAGACGGGGTCGTCGACGCGGCCTGCTTCTGCTTCTCCCTATGCTTCGCCGGCGAATTGGGTAGCGACACAGAGTTCGTATGCCTATGCCCCTTAAAGCTCCTGTGGATACACCCCACCGTCGGCGGCGTTGTCGGCGGCACCGGCACCCTGATCGGCGCCTCCGGCGTCCCCGCCCTCGACCTCTCCATGACCGGCGACGCCCTCCCAAAGTTCCTCAGCACACCTGTCGAGTGCGCCCTATCTCTCGGCTGGGCACCGCCCAACGAGTTTGCGCGTCTCGGCGGGGTCAATGATCCGGCCTCCCCCGGGGGCGGCGCGCTATGTCTGTGGTGGTTCGTCGTGACGTCGTGTGCCAGCAGCGTCCCCGTTCGACGGGGCCTCCGGAGTGTGTGCTCGTCGTGGGCGCCCTTGCCGCCGGCGGGGTCGGAGACGGAGCGCGAGGCGATGGAGGGGCGGTTGTAGGCGGGGGAGAGACGGCCGCCGGGGAAGAGGGAGGAGGAGGGGGTGAGGGGGTAGTGGGGTTGAGAGGGGTCGTCGAGGCGCATGCTGCTTGCGACGAGGCCCTCGCGGAGGGCGATCCAGATGCCGGAGACGAGCATGAGGGAGCGCATGTGCTCGCTGGTTTTGACCATAATCCGCTCGTCGGATATCTGGAATGCAACGCCTAGGGGACTGGATGTTGTTGGGGTACCTGGCCGCGAATGAGGTGGTGTTGTTGCGGGGGATGCAAGAGGGGATCCTAGTGGGGATGATATTGATGGCAGTGGGTAGGTGTCGTTGATCTCGATTGTCTGCTTCGTCAGGCTCCCGAGGATGGGGTGCTTCCTGGAGTTTGGGTTGACGAGGGAGAACTGGAACCTCTTCTCCTCCTCTCCAGTCTCGCTCTTGGTGGTCTGGTATGACCGCCTGCGTGGGTTCGCAGACTTTGGGTTCCACCGCGCCATCAATATACCCCCATCCTCGTCATGAGCCACAAACTCGTATCCCCCAGCAGCCGTTGTCGAAACCTCCCATTGCGGGCCACTGCTCAGTTGAATAACTGTGATCCTTGAACCCTTGCCATCCTCGCCATCCATCTTTCTATATCCTGAAGACACTGATGCAACCACTTGCCTAGCATTCAAGCTATCCTCGTCATCATCCTCGTCCTCATCATGTCCAAAATCCTCGCTCGACAAAAATACCAAATCCTGCATCCCGACGCCATTCCCAAAGAACTTCCCAAGCTTCCTTTTTAACCTTGGAGCAAACACTGACGCTGGCAACACATCTAGCGTTGGTAGCGGCCGTGTGGTATTCGAGAGCTTCTGCAGCTGTACCACAAGTGACCTCGACGGTTTAAATGTGTGATGTGAGCCCGGCGGGGGCTGTGCAAGATGATATGATGATTTCGACCTTGGGAGCTTCTTTGGTGGTGGTGGGGGAGGCGTTGGGATCTCCTCAAAGATGGGCGAGGAGGCAGCGACGGGGGCCGGCACTGGGGCAGTGGTGATAGAGGTCCTGGGGGACTGCTGCGCGTTGGGATTGAGCATCTGGAGGGCACACGAGGCCAGCCCGCTGGGTGATGTTGGGCCAGAGAATTCGTGGCCGTGGGCCGCGGCGGCGTTGGCTGTGAAGAGTGTTAGGAAGGACATGGTGCCTGGGGCATGAACCCTGGTAGCTGGAAGAAGTGCACTGGAGCCAAGTTGAGCAATGCTTCTTGCAGGTGGATAAGTACCTGCCTGGTAGTAGTGTGGAATTGGTTGTGAGAAATTGGTTCAGGTGTCGGGGGGTGTTGTCCTGCTGCTAACTGGAGATGGCAGTGAAGTTCCGAGACACGCAGTGAATAGTACCTGGATATCGAAAATCAGGTACTGTGGTTTGTAGATGTATTTGAATTGATATATCTATCGATCAAGAACTTAGGGAGGCTGGTAGTAGATATAAGTAGCAGCAGGATGTAGTTGCAGCAGCAATAATAGTAGTAGTAGTAGCAGCAACCAGTGACAGGGGGAACCTTTTAGTATATGAGCGAAAAACGAGCGAAGGTGAAAAGGGACTTAAGGGAAGGATGTGAAGGAAGGGGGGGTGGAAGGATTAGATAGGGCTGGAGGGAGGAAAGCCATGATGATATAACCCATAGCTTCAGCAGGCACCGGCAGGTAGTGGTAATGTCTGATGAGTGGGCGTTCCTGTGCATACAAGGCAAGGTTGCTCAAAGCAAGGTGGAGGGGAGGGGGGAGGGAAGGTTTCTTTGCAGGGCGGCGCCAGGAAGTGTGTGCAGGCCGCTAATACAACCAACCCAAACCCAAAGCTTTAGACACGGAAACTCAACGTACCCACACACCGACGTCTCTCGGTGCCCCGGGGCTCCGGATACCCGTATGAAGGGAAGGGGAAGAAGGAGCGTTCTGGATAATTTATTGACAGTTTCTAGATTCCCGTGATGTGCAGTGTCAGAAGTCTATCTCCAAATATACATCCTTAGTAGTACTGATCGCTTAATTGCATGTTTTGGTCATGGTGGTGGGAACGAACACGAGCTGATTGATGAGTAGCATGTTGCGTAGGACCGACCATGTGGGTTGGTACTGGTGGAATTAAACTCAGAGACAGAGCCAGGCAAGGACAATGCGCAGAGAAAAGACAAAGACAAAGAGCCTCTCTCTCTCGAACTCTCTCACCACCCAAATCCTCTATCTACATGTATGTACGGAACTGTAGGTACAGGTACATACACTACGGTAGGTACCTCTCCTCTACTACGCCCCCATCCTACACACTCCCTCCCTCCCTCTCGCTGGCCATCTAAGGCGCTTCTTCTGGTCGCCGTAGCCGGACCACGTCTCAAGGCCTCTGCATCCTCTCCTCCTCTCGACCTGGTTCCATCATTTTTTTAACCACCACTCTCCCAAGACGATGATAAACCATGGGAATGAAAGAAAGAAAGAAAAAAAGCCCTACAAATCCAGTCTTATTGGCCGAAAGCTTATTGACCAAGATCACTCACTTTGATATGAGGTTAGTCACTTCCGGATCCTGCTTTTGGAATTCCTTAAGGCCTTCTTTGTGGGATCTCGCAGCTTTTATTCCTCCGACTCCGAGTCCCCAGTAAAAAAAAAAAAAAAGGGAAAAAATATCCCCGATCACCTAGTGCATCCTGAACCACTCATCGGGACTATTGGGACTATTCTTAATCCCAGCCACTATTTCCCTTTGGAGAGCCGCAGCTGGCTGTGCATTAAGCGAACTTTTCTCCCATTGGCCAGATCTGTAGTTCCAGAGATGTGTGCTTTTTAAGCGTAATCTTGCTGAACATGAGACGAAACCCAACCAAGTGCCCTGTGATCCAGAAGAATTTCCAACCGGGGTGGATGGGGACATCGTCCTTCTCAGAGGCCGGATTTGTGCGGGGCTCTACCTACATCTGATTATTGCTGTTGTTAGATCTGCCGACATTTCTGAAATCGTTCACCTGGATCCCGCAATTGTTTCTCTCCCTCGGTGTGAATTACGAAATAGGTGAAAGATGCCAGTAATCTACCCTATCTTGTTCCTACTTTACACATACATACCAAGACTCGCCTTTTTCCCACGTTACGTGCCCATACTCGCACGGGCTTACGACTGCAATTAGTCGAGAAACCCACCAATGAGCGCTGGCCATTCCGTCCCGCTAGAGGTTGCTACCCTTTTCTATTATTCTTCCAGAAACGATAGCAGTGCAACTACTTGTAGATCCACCTATCGATTGCGCGGGTTACCTACGTACACCCATGGCCGTGGCATGCAGACTGGCAAATAGAGCAGATTCGTAGAGTACCTACCCAGAGAGCACACTCATGGGCAAAGGGCAAAGAGAGGAACGTCGTACGTCCATGACGAACTCCTCCATGCCAAAAAACCCCCAATTCCAAAAACAGGGTATTCCATCACTAAATTAATGAACAGAGTACATAGCTGTTGCTCATAATGACCACCTACATGTACCTACATGTACCCACTCCCTCCAATCTGCCTGTCCCACCAGTTCAAGAGGGTGTGCAGCTGCTGTGTCCAATACTCATAGCCAATATGCAGCTCGCCTACCAACCACCCTTGACCCCTCCCTCACACACTCTCACTCTCTTACCCTATCGACCCCAGCCATCTCTGTAGTCCTCACCAATAAACATATCCTCACGCCTCAGTAAACAACCCGCGTTATAGCAGCCAGTAACCGGGCAATCAAAATTGGGGGCCAATGCTCTGAGCACTCACTCATGTGGGCGTCCCGACCACATCCATCCTGTAAGTCCAAATAAGCTCTGTACTCCACACACATAACGTGCCAATATTGATTATAATTCTCTTTTCTAGATACCGATAACCACTGGTTACAATCCCGAGGAACGTTCGGGGTCTGGTGAGGGGTTGGTTGTTGTTGAAACGGAGCACCGATGCCATCCATCGAGATGTTAAAAAGAAAACAGAAAGAAAAAGAAAAAGGGAGCCACAATCAAGCCTGACGTCTGCAGGCTTTTACGCCGACTCAATTAAACTTTGCTTTCCTCTTCATCTTCTCTCCTCCTCATTGAATCAAAATCTTCAAAAGAGGGTATCCACAAAATGATCCACAGACCCAGCAGCAGAGTCTATGCACAACACTGTCACCTGCATATTGGCATATTGGCACCCACATGGACGCACCTCACATCACTCGTCCCTTAACCCGTCCAACGGCGAGATGGAAAGGAAGGGGGGGGGGGGGGGGGGTTGGGGGGGTGAAAGAATGATCGCTTCTCGGATTCCGGAACACCACACATCCCGGCCCGGACAGACACCACAAAAAATCTCACGTGCGACGTCGATGGGATAACGTTCCATACAGGCAACGTTTTACAGGAAGGGCAAAAAACGTTTTTTTCTCGGTGTCACGGCTGTCGGAAAAACTTGTACCGGAAGGGAAGGGAAGCAGGAGGAGGGAAAAAAAGCTTGAGTTTGGACCCTGCCAGGGAAACGCCAAGAATATAAAACCACTCCGGTCCATGGCCAGGCCGCCAGCCAAGCAGCATTCCATGATTGCCGTTTAGTGTCGAAATGGCCGTTCCTTTCTTACTCCACAGTACTACTGAGATCTGGATTGTGAGGGCGCGCCACGTATTCTTCTCTACGAGGTTCGATTTACTTGACTCTTACTGTAAGCCAGAAAGTGATTGATCTTGTACTCGAGCTCATGCTACATAGCTGCTACTACCTAGCTGTTTTGTTAGGATTGTTTGGTCTGTCGGCCAGCCTCAGAGCTGGATATGAATGACATTCCTGATAAGTAGGAAGAATGCGAGCCTCACTCAGGAAGATCTCACGCACCCCCGGAGAGCCTTATCGAATAGGGTTTGATATCTCCAGTATTCTAGATACCTACATATAACCCATGGTATCATATCTTTTGGCCCATCCAGCCAGCAACCTAGCAATTTCCAGGCTGCATATGTCACATCGTTTTTTCCCTCTCTTCCTCCGCGACCAGAAAATCAGACACCCGCGTCTAGCTCTATAGATCTAGCTATGATATAAATCCGATGGCCACATGGGTATGACAGGATCCAACTAAATAATCAACAATCCCCGCTACAGAGCCAGCTAGCTAAGCCTTCCCGGTACCAGTTGTCACTTGCAGACAAATCGGCCCACTGGTAGATCCAGAGAGGGCGGTTAAGTAATCATTCGTTCGTTCTTTCGGGGCCCGGGACAACCTCCCAGCCTGGCAAAAAGAAAATCTGCATAGTCATGGTGTTTCCTCATCCGATCCGTGGGGGTGAAGGTGGAGAGGAGATCATGATTCAGCGTCCTAAACTTCTCCTAGCCTTACCTAGCTCAATTATATCACACTCGATTCCTTACTCATCATGCCACCCGCCGCTGGAATCTAGTAGACATGTATGTGTAACTAGCACGGCGCACCCACATCATATAATTATTATATACCGAGGCTTTTCTACTCCTCCGCGTCCTCCAATTGCTGCTAAGGCCAGCCTAGTAGCTAGGGCTCGCCCGCCCTACGTTATAAATCCCGGGCTCTACTCTACTCTAGCTAGCAAGGCTGCGGGTGTTCCCGCCTAGCTGGGTCGGCATGATTCATTAGCTCATTCAGTAGCTCTGGCTGGCCTGATGATCCCCATCGCCGAGGTTGGCGAGAGGGAAAAAAAATTATCACTCGCCGACACGCTCGCTTCTTGGAAGAGCGTCATGAGCTGTAGCCGGGGAAGCCGAGGGAGAGGGGAATTTTGTTTGTTCAGATGTTTGATACGGCCGCCTGGCTAGTTAGCTGGCTACTCGCGCCGGCCGCACACTCATGACAGGGCAAAGACTAACGAGCATTTTTCGACATTGGAATGAGAGAGCCCAGGAAGAAGAATGTGAAGGCTCGAGAGAAAAAAATTGGAGCGAGAAAAAAAAAATTTCTCACGGGTGGATATCTTCCTGGGATTTTTTTCCCCTTCATGGCCATAGCCCATGGGGGTATTTGGCAGTTCATGACTCATGACCGCTGGTTAGCTGGCTAGCTAGCTCGTTCCAACCCGGGTATGATCCGAAAAGGGATAGAGCTCGCGTGAGGAATTTTTCTCTCTCTTTCTTTCTTTCTCACAGGTTTGTAGAAGTTGCTTCGGCGGGC